GACCGGGTCTGGACCGGGACTATAACGGGACTATAACGGGACTATAACAGGACTGGACCAGGTCTGGACCGGGTCTGGACCGGGACTATAACGGGACTATAACAGGACTGGACCGGGTCTGGACTGGGTCTGGACCAGGACTATAACGGGACTATAACAGGACTATAACAGGACTGGACCAGGACTGGACCGGGACTCGACCGGGACTGGACTAAACCAGGATTGGACCAGAACGGGACCGGGACTGGACCAGGACTGGACTGGGACTCAACCGGGACTGGACCAGGTCTGGACCGGGACTGGACCGGGACTGGACCGGGACTGGACCAGGACTATAACGGGACTATAACAGGACTCGACCGGGACTGGACCGGGACTGGACCAGGACTGTGACAGGTCTGGACTGGGACTGGACCAGGAAAAAAACAGGACTGGACCCGGACTGGACCAGGAAAAAAACAGGACTGGACCATGACTGGACCGGGACTGGACCAGGACTGAACCAGGAAAAAACCAGGACTGGACCAGGACTGGACCGAGACTGGACCATGACTGTGACAGGGCTGGACTGGGACTGTAACAAGACTAAACCAGGACAGGACCAGGTCTGGACCAGGACTAAACCGGGACTGAACCGGGACTGGACCAGGTTTAAACCAGGTCTAAACCAGGTCTAAACCAGGACTGTGTTTCTGAGTTGTGACGTTGGTGTCTCTCTGCAGCGTGACCCCCATCTTCACCGTCTCCTCGGTCTCTGGGCAGAGTCTGGACCTTCTCAAAGTCTTCCTGAACGTTCTTCCTCCTCTGAGCAACAGCAAAGAGCAGGAGGAGCTCATGCAGCAGCTCACAGAGTTCCAGGTACCTCCAGACCTTCACCTCCAGACCTTCACCTCCAGACCTTCTCCCACAGACCTTCTCCCTCAGACCTTCACCTCCAGACCTTCTCCCTCAGACCTTCTCCCTCAGACCTTCTCCCACAGACCTTCACCCTCAGACCTTCACCCTCAGACCTTCACTTTCAGACCTTCTCCCACAGACCTTCACCTTCAGACCTTCTCCCACAGGCCTTCTCCCTCAGACCTTCTCCCTCAGACCTTCACCTCCAGACCTTCACCCTCAGACCTTCTTCCACAGACCTTCTCCCTCAGACCTTCACCCTCAGACCTTCTCCCTCAGACCTTCTCCCACAGACCTTCACCTTCAGACCTTCACCCTCAGACCTTCTCCCACAGACCTTCACCTCCAGACCTTCACCTTCAGACCTTCTCCCACAGACCTTCACCCCAGACCTTCACCAGACCTTCACCCTCCCAGACCTTCTCACCTCACAGACCTTCTCCCTCAGACCTTCACCTCCAGACCTTCACCTCAGACCTTCTCCCACAGACCTTCTCCCACAGACCTTCACCTTCAGACCTTCTCCCTCAGACCTTCTCCCACAGACCTTCACCCTCAGACCTTCTCCTCAGACCTTCACCCTCAGACCTTCACCTCCAGACCTTCTCCCACAGACCTTCACCTCCAGACCTTCACCCTCAGACCTTCTCCCCCAGACCTTCTCCCACAGACCTTCACCTCCAGACCTTCTCCCACAGACCTTCACCTCCAGACCTTCTCCCACAGACCTTCACTCCAGACCTTTCAGACCTTCAGACCTTCACAACCTTCACCTCAGACCTTCAGACCTTCTCAGACCTTCTCCTCCAGACCTTCTCCCACAGACCTTCACCTCCAGACCTTCTCCCACAGACCTTCACCTCCAGACCTTCACCCTCAGACCTTCTCCTCCAGACCTTCTCCTCCAGATCTTCTCCCACAGACCTTCACTTTTAGACCTTCCCCCTCAGACCTTCACCCACAGACCTTCTCCCACAGACCTTCACCCTCAGACCTTCACTTTCAGACCTTCACCCTCAGACCTTCACCTCCAGACCTTCACCCTCAGACCTTCTCCCACAGACCTTCACCTCCAGACCTTCTCCCACAGACCTTCACCCTCAGACCTTCTCCCTCAGACCTTCTCCTCCAGATCTTCTCCCACAGACCTTCTCCCTCAGACCTTCACCTCCAGACCTTCACCCTCAGACCTTCTCCCTCAGACCTTCTCCCTCAGACCTTCTCCCCAGACCTTCTCCCTCAGACCTTCTCCCACAGACCTTCTCCCTCAGACCTTCTCCCTCAGACCTTCTCCCTCAGACCTTCTCCCACAGACCTTCTCCCTCAGACCTTCTCCCTCAGACCTTCTCCCTCAGACCTTCTCCTCCAGATCTTCACCTTCAGACCTTCTCCCTCAGACCTTCACCTTCAGACCTTCTCCTCCAGACCTTCACCTTCAGACCTTCTCCCTCAGACCTTCTCCCACAGACCTTCACTTTCAGACCTTCACGCTCAGACCTTCTCCCTCAGACCTTCTCCCACAGACCTTCACCCTCAGACCTTCTCCCTCAGACCTTCACCTCCAGACCTTCACCCTCAGACCTTCTCCCTCAGACCTTCTCCCTCAGACCTTCACCTCCAGATCTTCACCTTCAGACCTTCACCTCCAGACCTTCTCCCACAGACCTTCACCTTCAGACCTTCTCCCTCAGACCTTCTCCCACAGACCTTCTCCCTCAGACCTTCTCCCACAGACCTTCTCCCACAGACCTTCACCCTCAGACCTTCACCTTCTTCAGACCTTCAGACCTTCTCCAGACCTTCTTCTCCCTCAGACCTTCTCCAGACCTTCTCCCTCAGACCTTCTCCCTCAGACCTTCTCCTCCAGACCTTCTCCCACAGACCTTCTCCCACAGACCTTCTCCCTCACCTTCTCCCAGACCTTCTCCCACCCTCAGACCTTCTCCCCCAGACCTTCTCCCTCAGACCTTCTCCTCAGACCTTCAGACCTCTTCTCCCTCAGACCTTCACCTCCAGACCTTCACCTCCAGACCTTCTCCCACAGACCTTCTCCCTCAGACCTTCTCCCTCAGACCTTCTCCCATCAGACCTTCTCCCACAGACCTTCACCTCCAGACCTTCTCCCTCAGACCTTCTCCTCAGACCTTCTCCCAGACTTCCTACCTCACCCTCAGACCTTCTCCCTCAGACCTTCACCCACAGACCTCTCCCACAGACCTTCCCCCTCAGACCTTCACCTCCAGACCTTCACCTCCAGACCTTCACCCTCAGACCTTCTCCCTCAGACCTTCTCCCACAGGCCTTCACCTTCAGACCTTCTCTCTCAGACTTCACAGACCTTCACCCTCAGACCTTCTCCCTCAAACCTTCTCCCACAGACCTTCACCTCCAGACCTTCACCCTCAGACCTTCTCCCTCAGACCTTCTCCTCCAGATCTTCTCGTGTGTCTCTGTGACCTTTGACCTCTGTCTCTCTGTCTCAGGTGGACGAGATCTACTCTGTCCCTGACGTGGGGACGGTGGTGGGGGGAACCCTCTACAGGTGAGACGGGGAACTGCGCCCAGTGGCGTGTGCAGAGGGGGTGTGGTTTAACGTGTTTTTTTAGTGGCGTGTGCAGAGGGGGTGTGGTTTAACGTGTGTTTTTAGTGGCGTGTGCAGAGGGGTGTGGCTTAACCTGTGTTTTTAGTGTCGTGTGCAGAGGGGGTGTGGTTTAACGTGTGTTTTCAGTGTCGTGTGCAGAGGGGGTGTGGTTTAGTGTGTGTTTTTAGTGTTGTGTGTAGAGGGGGTGTGGTTTAGTGTGTGTGTTGTGTTTTTAGTGTCGTGTGCAGTGGGGTGTGGTTTAGTGTGTGTGTTGTTTTTAGTGTCGTGTGCAGAGGGGGTTTGGCCTAGCGTGTTGTGTTTTGTTTTTAGTGTCGTGTGCAGAGGGAGTGTGGCCTAGCGTGTTGTGTTTTTAGTGGCGTGTGCAGAGGGGTGTGGTTTAGCGTGTTGTGTTTTTAGTGGCGTGTGCAGAGGGGGTGTGGTTTAGTGTGTGTTTTTTGTGTCGTGTGCAGAGGGGGTGTGGCTTAGTGTGTTGTGTTTTTAGTGGCGTGTGCAGAGAGGGAGAGCGCCTCCTGGTGGGCCCGTCGGAGCAGGGTCGGTTCTGGAGGCTTCGTGTCGGGAGCATCCAGAGGAACCGGTCGGCGTGCCGGGTGCTCCGGGCCGGACAGGCCGCCACACTCGCCCTCGGAAACTTCGACCGCTCCCTCCTACGAAAGGTCAACCCCAAACCCCGAGAGACCGAGACCAGGACTAGACCAGGACTGGACCAGGACTGAACCAGGACTAAACCAGGACTAGACCAGGACTAAACCAGGACAAAACCAGGACTAAACCAGGACTGGACCAGGACTAAACCAGGACTAGACCAAGAGTAGACCGGGACTGAACCAGGACTGGACCAGGACTGAACCAGGACTAGACCAGGACTGGACCAAGACTGAACCAGGACTAAACCAGGACTAAACCAGGACTAAACCAGGACTGGGGACCAGGACTGGACCAGGACTGAACCAGGACTAGACCAGGACTGGACCAAGACTGAACCAGGACTAAACCAGGACTGGACCAAGACTGAACCAGGACTAGACCAGGACTAAACTAGGACTAAACCAGGACTAAACCAGGACTGAACCAGGACTAGACCAAGACTGAACCGGGACTAGACCAGGACTAAACCAGGACTAAACCAGGACTGAACCAGGACTAAACCAGGACTAAACCAGGTCTAAACCAGGACTGAACCAGGACTGTCTGTGTGAGTTGACGTGTTTTGTGTTGTGCCTTTGAGCAGGGCATGGTGATGGTGAGCCCCAAGATGAACCCCACCATCTGCTGCGAGTTCGAAGCCGCCATCGTGCTCCTGTTCCACGCCAAGACGTTCCGCCGCGGGTTCCAGGTCACCGTGCACGTCGGGAACGTGAGGCAGACCGCCACCGTGGAGAGTCTGCAGGGGAAGGTACGGAACCGAACCCGCAACCTCCTCAGCAACGCACGTCACTCGAGAGAGATCGAACCTCCAAAAACCTCCAGAGTCGAACTTTTCAAGTCTTTGGAACCACGTCGC